GCTTAAGAAAATAGCAAAAATAAATAAATTAAATAAAAGATACACAGAGATATATAGATAGAGATAGAGAGAGAGAGAGAGAGAGAGAGAGAGAGAGAGAGACAGAGAGAGACAGAGAGAGAGAGAGAGACAGACACACACACACACACACACGGACACAGCCCTTCCCCACCCAACAGCCGCTGGTGTCGCACCTTGGGTCGTCGACGAGCTTGAGCGTGCGGTCAAAGAGGAGCGGGCAGAGCGGAGCAATCTGCTGCTGGGGCGAAAAGTGGAGCATGCGGCCCATCAGCTGTAGGCCAAGCGACCGGAGCCTGCAGGCAATTTGAAATGTGCGTTTGTGAGTGTGTGTGCGGGGGCGGGGGACAGTGGCAGGTACGGCGCAGGGTGGAGAATGAGGGGAGAGAGAGAGAGAGAGAGAGAGGCCAGTTGGTGAGAAACAGGGAACACACAGGCGCGTTTACGTATTCAGACGCGCATACATGCAGACACACACACACGTACACAGAGACACACGTACACACACGTACACACACACACACGTTTACACACACGTATACACATACACACGCACACACACACACACACACACACACACACACACACACACACACACCTCCCGCCCACCTGGCATCGCCGGCGTTGTCGTAGATGCAGCTGAAGACACACGCGAGACACGCGGGGACGGCTTTCGGCGCAGCAACAGAGCGCACCAGGCGGGCTGCAATAGCACTGCGCGCGCGTGCGCTCATGAGTGTGCGGCGCGCGTCCACAGGCAACGCCTTCTGCGCAGGGGACGACGGCGACAGCGTGAAGTATTGCATAATGCTGACCACGGTTGGAGGGTCATTGAGGTCCACGCCCACACGCCGCATGCCCAGGACGGCGCGATCTGCAATGTCGCTGTTCGGGTCGCCAGCTGCTGTCATCAGGGCCACGGCCACGTCACGCGCATGGAAGGTCTTTGGCTGCGACAACACATCCACAACGGCCAGCTTGAGTGCGTGCACGTCCTCACGCGTCGGGCAGCGGAACACCGCACCCTTCTGATCAACGAGTGCGAGGAGTCGAGTGCGACTGAGACCGGGTGGCGGTGGGGGCAGCGCCGTGCTGCCCTCCTGTTGCGGATGAATCAGCTGCAGTGCAGCGGTGTTGAGCAGGAGAAAGTCGCGCGCAAACTCAACGAGCTGTTGCCGCCGTCGCTGTACCGTGGGCCCATCTTGTTGTTGTTGTTGTTGTTGTTGATGTTGTTCAGTGGGGGGTGATGGTGCTGTCTTGTCCTTATCGCTGCTTGTGCCTGCGGCGTGTGTAGTGGCACTTGCACATCCAAGATGCTCCAGCACGTTCTAAGTGCGGTGTGTGGGATCGTGGGTGGGAGCAGCACGTGAGGTTCTTGGTATTGTGCCATTCGGGCTGATGCCGCGTCGGTGACCCACACACCCACACACGCATACACACATACTCGCACACACACACACACACACACACACACACCCACACCCACACACACACACACACACACGCATACACCCACACACACACACACGCATACACACACACACACACACGCGCGCGCGCATACACACCCACATGCACACCTCTGGCTTAATGCCCTTGATGAGGAGTGGCAGTGCTGGGATGACGTGCCGGTACACCAGCGCCGGATCCGGGCTGCAATTCAGCAGCGGATGATGGTGGTGGGTAGGTGAGATGTAAGGGCATGCATGCGCGAAGCATCAAAGTGAGGAAGCGCAGAGTAAACGTACGCAGATACAGACACAGACACAGACACACACATCCACACACGCACAGACATGGACATGCACACACACGCACACAGACACACACGCACCAGTGCTCGATGTTGTGGAGGAGGGTGAGGAGGCCGGTGCATAGGTCGTCATCGGGCAGGCGCGACAGCCCCATCGTCAGGTAGATACGCGTGAACTTCTTGACGGAGCCAGACACGTCCTTGTTGATGTACTGCTGGATGAGCGGTGTCACCGGCAATTGCATCGCTGATCGGGACCCGAGGATCTGCGGCGCGTACAACATGAGGTGTGCAGGTTCGAGTGATGCGAATGAGCTCTTCAACGTGCTTATCTACGCTTGTCCAAGGGCACGACAGGGTCACGCACACGCATGTGCACAGCCCGCGTACCTTGTTGATGTGCGTGAGCACCTGCATGAGCTTGGCGCGGACGCTTTGGTGTGGACTGCTGAACTTGAGCAGCATTGGGCACAGCAGGTTGCGCACATTCTGCTCCAGCTGTGGGTATACGTGGATGAGTGTGAATGTGGACGAGTGCGTGTGGATGAGTATGTGTGTGTCGGTGCGAGCGTATTGTGTGTGCGCAGGCTGAACAGCCACCGCAACTGCAATATCAGCAGTAAACTTACGGCCTCGTCTGTCGCTGCGGTCGCAAAGCGCATCAGCACACGGTCCAGCAACTCTGTGTCGTGTCAAGCAAGCAAGCGAGGCGGAAGGTGCAGCAGCAGTAGTTGAGCAGCATCCGCACATCACCGCGATTACACAAAACAAACAAACACACGCACAAAACACACACGCACACACACATTAGACACACACACACACACACACACACACACACACACACACACACACACACACACAAAAAGCATAAGCCACACGTACCTGCATCTTGCTGTTCGCTGGCGTCGGCCATTCTCGTTGTTGGATGGGGTGATGTGAAGGAAAGGCGGAGGTGGGATCAATGCACAAGGAAGTGTGAGGTTGCTGCGGATGTGTCAGCAGGTTGGAAAGCAGTTGGAGCAAGAGCAAATTGTGCGACTACATAATATATGATGTCGCATTTCCGTTCAGTAACGATAACCGCACAACAACATGGCTGACAAGAGCGAGGAGCACCACCACGGCCCACCGGCAGGCGACGACTGGGGTGACGACCAGTCTGCACGCCTGCGCGACGCAGGCTACAAGAGTGAGTGGCGGTGGATGTGGTTGCTTACAGATAGTGTGTAGGCGGGTGTTTGCGAGGTGAAGAATCGCGGTGAAAGTAACGCAATTACCAATGTACCCGACAGGTGTTGTTGTCGTCGGAGTTGTTGTGTTCACTGTGTTTGTTCGTGTTTGCGCTTGCGTGTTTGTGCTTGCGTGTTTGCGCTTGCGTGTTTGTGTGTGTGTGTGTGTGTGTGTGTGTGTGTGTGTGTGTGTGTGTGTGCGTGTCGTTGGATAAAGCTCACACAACGGCACATGGTTGGCTCTGGTGTCTTGTAGTTGTTCGCTTTGGTGGACCAGGCATCATCTACGTCGGCCAAGTGGACTACGACGACAAGCCAGATGGTGTGTGTGTGTGTGTGTGGGGTTGGTTCCGGTGGTGGTGTTGGTCGTTATGTGTGCACGCTTTCAGTCTCATCGCCTCTCCACCTGCCTTGTCTGTCTTCTCCACGTGTTGCTGCAATTTTCACAGGGACGGGCTTCATGTTTCTTCCCAATGGCGACATCCATCAGTGTGAGTTCCGCAACGGGCGCGCAGACGGCAAAGGCATCTACATGACCAGTAAAGGCACCGAAATGGCAGGTGAGCCACCTTCCTTTGCGCGTTGTGTGCGTGTGTTGTGATGTGTGTGCGTGTGTGTGCGTGCGTACTTGTGTGTGCGTGCATGCGTATGTGTTGTGGTGTGTGCGGGTGTGTGTGCGGGTGTGTGTGCGCGTGCGTGTGCGTGGTTGTGCGTTTGTGCGTGTGTGCGCGCGTGTTTGTGGTTGCTCGCATGCCTTTTTCTTGCCTCGTTCATAGCAGCAGCAGCAGCAGCACTCAGCCGTCTTGTCTTGACATCCCTTGCAGGGGAGTGGCGCATGAACATGCGTGTTGGCGAGTTCAAGATCGTCGACGGCAAGGGCGTGCACTGGCTCGAGCGCTACAACGACGAAGGCAAGAAAACGGCTCGCAAGAAGGTGATCAATGCAAGCGTCTGACATGACGTGCAGTGTGTCAAACACGAGGCGCACCTATCATCGTGCCAACACACACACACACACACACACACACACACACACACACACACACACACACACACACACACACACACACACACACACACACACA